CTGCTCTCATCTCAGTTCCCATAGCCTCTCCCATCCCAGTTCCCATCCCAGTTCCCATAGCCTCTCCCATTCCAGTTTCCATCCCCACTCCCATCCCAGTTCCCATCCCAGTTCCCATAGCCTCTCCCATTCCAGTTTCCATCCCCACTCCCATCCCAGTTCCCATCCCACTTCCCATAGCCTCTCCCATCCCAATTTCCATCCCAGTTCCCATTCCCACTCCCACCTCAGTTCCCATCCCAGCTCACATACCAGTTCCCATCTCAGCTCCCATCCCAGCTCCCACCCCAGTCCCCATCCCAGCTGCCTTCCCTGCTCCCATCCCCATTCCCACCCCAGCTCCCATCCCAGTTTGCATCCCAGTTCCCACCCCCATTCCCATCCCAGTTCCCATCCCCGCTCCCATCCCCATTGCCAACGCATTTCCCACCCCCACTCCCAGCCCTGCTCCCATCCCCTTTGCCCGTGCAGCTCTATGGGGCCAGGCCCATAGCCTGTTCTGTGCTTCTGTCTCCACGTGTGGATGGAGGTGTGTGTGTGCTGTGCATCCTGCCGGGCGTGCAGGGGTGTCTGCTCTTGGCAGAGGAGATCCGGGCCGGGAGCCCGGCAGCTGTTCCGAGCCCGGCTGCAGCCAGACAGCCACCGCAGCGCTGGTGACCGCATGCGCCCGCTCCCCTCCGGCCCTTCCGAATCGCTCCGTCACATGCACTGAAACAAAGGGAACGAAGGGCTGCACCGACAGCAACATCAACATGTCATAATAAATAAGTGAGCACCCCCCGGGTGCTGGGATCGGCCCTGCTGGAGATGGGGCTCGGTGCCGATCCGGGTGCGCTGCGCCGGGGGGGTGTGGGTGGGTTCCAACGCGGGGATGGCCGTGCTGCATTTCTCATGGAAACTTGAGCGGGACCTTGCCAGCTCCCAGGATTTTTCCCTTGTCTTTGCCCAGATTGTCTCCAGCATCCCTGATTCCCTCCAGCTGCCGGCACGTGGGGAGCAGAGCTGCTGGCGCGTCACTGGGGAGCCGGTGCCAAAGCTGGGCTGGTGGCACTGGGGACAGTACGGTGCGTGGGGCTGAGCTGGGTGGGAGCAAGCAGGACGGTGCTGGGGGGCTTGGAGTACACGGGGCCGTGTCACTGAAGCCCTGACCCAGACAGAGCGGCACAGTGCCTCGAGCAGACACAGAAGAGATGGATAAGGCTGCGGAGTGTCAGACAGCAGAGTGGCTTCATGGGACTCAATCCCTTCCGGAGACAGATTTTTTTGGCTTACGTACAGCAGTGTCCGAGCTACTGTGGGAAAGCACCGAGCACCGCTCAGCGCTGCCTGTGCTGCGGAGTCACAGGGCTCGTGGAGAGCTGAAACACATTGTTCCATCAGCACGGGGGAGGAAGGAGCCAGCTGGGCAGCATGCGCAGGCAGGGCAGTTCCCTAGAAATACCAAAATTTCTCCAAAAAATAACCAGAGGTAGTAATGCTCCCCGCCCTGCCCTCCCTGCAAACGCAGCAGGGCAGCTGCTTTCATCTGAACTCAGGCTCCAAAATCCCCTTGCTCTCCAAGAGCAACCTTTGCATTCATTCATTTGTGGATGATGGATGGGGTGCCCCGAAGCTCCCTATGGGGACCACCGGTGCGGGTGGCCCAAAGCACTCACTTGTTTTGGGGACCACTGATGGGATCTCCGCAGGGCACCACCACTGACAGGGGTGTCCCAAAGCACTCATTCGTTTAGGGGATGATTGCCATGGGACAAATGTGCTGCAGCTTCCCTTCCTGGGAGCTGGAGGGGAAGGATATACCATCAGCTGCAGCTCAACACCACTTCTGCTGCTCTGAAGCCATCTCCAAAGCCTGGGGGCAGTGGGCAGGCAGTTGTGCCCTAGGAGCCAGTGTGCACAGTGGATACAGCCCTGGTGACACATGGCTGCTGGGTGCCCCATCATGGGACATCCAGGGCCACACGGAACCCAACATTTGAGGCTAAGCACAAAGCTTGACCCCAAACCCTGTTTCCTTCTCCCCGCTGGGTGAGCCAGGCCAAGAAGCTGCTTGGTGCTGCCTAAACCAAGCGGATGGAAAGGGCAAAGCAGCTTCTTCCCTCCGACTGCGCATTGGAGAGCACTGGGAAACTGAGCTCCTTGGGCACGCGGCGAGGGGAAATCCTGCGTCCTCCTCCTGTGTGCCAAGCTCCGGGTGCGTCTGTGGGTAACTCGTCTGGTCGGAAAGCCTGAGGGCACACGTCCTGGGGAAAGCACCGTCTGTGAGCGTGCCCCCACAGCCAACCATTGCCACATCCCGTTCCTCTTCCCCAGGTGAGTCCCAGAGCTCCCACCGGGCGCCCTCACTTTTCTCAGGAATTGCTCTTACTCAGAAGCACCCAGGCTCCTTCCAGCCCCATGCCAAGCAGAGGGGCAGCTGCTGAGTCTTGCTCTCTTCCTCCCAGCCCACGCGGATGGGATGGTGCCCAGTCACGCATTTTCATGTCAGAAAACAAGGCAAATAAGCACCAAAAAGTCCTGCAGAGAGCCCGAATTGGGCTAGGTGGGACCCGCTAGGCTCTGAAGTCTCTCCAACCTGTGGGCTTCCTTATGACTCCATCCCAAGGATGAAGCCCATGCGCTATCACTGCTGTTCCCAGGTCGCATCCATGGGGAACACCACGAGGTCAGCTCTCATCCCGCGATCGCCCGACACAAGGGAAGCGGCTCTGTTCCTCCCGAGGCTGCAGAAGCACTGAGGGCAGCACATTTCTCATCCTTGCTGCACCAGCACGCGGTGGCTGAATCTTTTTTTAAGATCAAAGGAGTGCAGGAAGTGCCAGATCAGACCTACAGCCCGCTGGGCACTAACCAGTACCAGATGCTCCAAAGGAGGTGCAAAGCCACCGTGCTGCACAGACAGAAAATGATCTGCCCATGCAGAGCTCTCAGCATCCCACACAGGGCACAGCAGAGTCCCTGGGTTTCTGCTATGAATTGCCATGGCAAACGGGCTGAGCTCTCTTCAGTGACCAAATGGGGAGCTGAGGGGTGCTGCCCTTCAGCTGGAGCCCTCCAACATCTCAAACTGGGGCACAATTTCCATCAGGAGGGGTTCCAGTACTTGGGTGAAACATCCTCCTTCAGGGACACTGACAGCAATAAGATGAGGGAGAACGACAGAACCATGGAATCATCAAGGTTGGAAAAGACCTCTAAGATCAACAAGTCTAACTGCCAACCCATCCCCACGTGCAGGACATGGCCCTGGGTCTTGTTGGACTTCATCCCATTGGCCTCAGCCCATCCATCAGCTTCTCCTCATCCTGCTGTAGGGCCTTCCTGCCCTCAGGCAGATCGGCACTTCCCCCAATTCAGTCTCATCTGTTGACCTACTGAGTGTGCACTCGATTCCCTCATCCAGATCATCAATGAGGATATTAAGCAGGGCCAGCCCCAACAGCAAGCCATGTGGAATGGCTTTAAATTAATAAAGGAGATGTAGGTGAGACGTGGAGAGGAACGCTGCTTTGCCAGACTCCAGCAGGATCCTGGATTAAGAGAGGAAATTCCTCACAGAGCAAAGTGTGTGCAATAGTAGAAACTCCAGATAAGCGCCTGATGACTGCACCTCGAGGGGCCACCTCACAGTGGTGTGACCTCAGGAGAGTCACTTCCAGCTGCGATTACGATTTCACCCTCCTGGCAATGGGAAATCGTGATGCTCAGCCTCCTTCGCAAAGGCCTTCAGATGACACATGTCCCGAGGGGTTAATGAAATTGAGGGCGGAAAGCGGGGGAAAGGCTGATCTGCAAGACAGCAAAAACCCAACAGCCGCCCACTGTCCTTGGGACGCGGGGTCCCCAGTACCCCAAAAAACCGAGCGAGACCATGGGCACCCAAATGGCACCCAATGGGTACCCAAAGGGCACCCAAAGGGCACCCAAAGGGCACCCCGTGGGCACGCTGGCACTGAGCCACGGGTTTTCACCCCACAGCAGCGATCGCAGCCCTTGAGTCATGAGCGGTGCTGAGTGCTGCCTTTGTGCAGCATGGAAGGATGCCCGGGCTGAGCTATCTGAGCCGCGCATCGCGCTCTTTCTTCACACAGCTTCTTACACAGCACGCTCTGTTGCTGGGCTATAGGGAATTTTTGTGCCGGGCCCTTTTGACGTGAACCCTTTTAGAAAGAAAATCCTGACTCATGGAGCCGTGACGTTGAATATAGTGCTGTGTAAGGCCTGACACAACTGGATACTTGGCAGCGGGCCGCCCCAAGTCCAGCCAGAGGAATATAGGCATTTTGAGACCTGAATACATCTTCTTTTGTACCTTCAAGCAAAGGGAAGCCTTAGCAATGCCTTAGTAACGAGGGTCACCCAAGTACAGTGTCTCCCACTGGAGAGTTAAATAAGAGCAATGAAAAAATAATGGTTTTCCCTCTTCCTTTGCAGTGGCCAAATATGCTGATTCCCTTCTGGAATGAGCAGCTGCCAATTTCAGAGCAGAAAATCTCTTGTAGCCAAGTAACTCAGATCTTGCGCTCTGTAAAACAGCCTGGGAAAAGGAAAGCGGGCCAGCCAATCCACTGCAACCAGTAGGTAATGGTGCTCCCCAGCATGGCGACTTGCACGCAAGCTGGCATCTCTCTGAAAGCAGAAAATGGGCACATCTGTGTCAGACCCGTGCCCATGCCTGGCCCTGCTCTGCACGGAGCTCTGCAAACCCCACGGGCTGCCTGCGTGTCACCTTCAGCTCCCGAGCTTCTCCAAACTTTATGTGCCTTTGGGTGCTCCCATCTGGGCCTACCAGTGGGTGCAGAGATGCTGAGTACGTTGTCTGCTTTTTAGTTTGTTTGCTCCTTCTGCTTTTTTTTTTTTTTTTTTTTTTGGCTCTTTCTACCCCTCCAAAGCCCAGGCTGAGCTCTCTGTGCAATACATTGAAAATAAAATAAAAAGGAAATGTCATCAGGCAGCCGACCCAATTCTTTCCCTTTTTACCTCAGCATAATTCCACTGCATCGGCAGGGAAGCCAGGTAACAGCCAGATGACCGCAAGCCAAAGGAAATGCTTGGCTGCTGGAGGCAGCAAGGCTTTGTCCAGCCGCCACGCTTACCCATACCTTCCTCATGTCTGGAGCCTGTGCTGATTCACCGCCATGGAAGGACCCCAAGGTAGTTTGGGGTTTCCCTTGTGTGGCCTCCTGCCCGCTGCAGGCTGCTCTGCAGGCAGTTCAGTGCCCAGATGAGGTCCTTGTCAGAACCCAGACGAGGTCCACTCCCTGTCCCACGGCCTCGAGATGCTATTCATCATTCCCCTGGCTCCATTGGCTCATTGACTCCATAGGAAGCAGACGGAGTGGGCTGGAAGCAAACCCAGCCAGCCAGTGATAGACTGAAGTCATCTTGAGCCGCCTGTGCTGCTCCTGCCAGAGGGGACCACCAAAGCCCCTCTGATTCCTGGTTCTGTGGCCCCCAAAGCAATGGTGAGCGCCTCCACTGTGTGACATCCAGTCCGGTACGATGACCCAAGAGCTGCAGCAGACACCAGCTGGAGATACGAGGTTGGATATTAAAGAAGCATTTCTTCTCAGAAAGAACGGTTGGGCAGTGGCACAGCTGCTCAGGGAGTGGTGGGGTCACCATCCCTGGAGGCATTCCACAGCTGTGGCGATGGGTTGGGGTTGGGCTTGGGGATCTTAGTGTCCTCTCCAACCTTAATGATCCCATGATTCTAAGTGTGAGCAGAGCTCAGCAATGTCTCAGATGCCAGGCTGGTTAGACCAGAGCAACCCTTCTTTTCATGGGTGCAAGCAGAACTCCTTGACTTTGGAAAGACTGATTTTTATTGAAACTGCACCCCATTATGCTGTTTATGAGCACTGTGGAAGCCTCTATAGACATCCAACAGTATCAAAGTTCCGTGATGGCAGCTTCTGCAAGGGCTCACAGGATGGTGTTCCTTCTCCCATGGGCAGCACTTTTTAAAGGAGGGAAGAGAGGGAGAGATTTGTGTACCAAGCCCCAGAATCACCAAATAACAGTATCACTTCAGTTGGAAGGGATCTTTAAAGATCATCTACTCCAACTCTCCTGCAATGAAGTGAGACACTTACAGTTCAGAAATGCCCCCTCTGGGGCATGCAGGAAGCTCTCGAGTCCCAGTGCTGTGCTCGACCCATGGGGACAAGCAGCTTCAGCTTCCTGGTAACTTCTTTGGATCAACTGAACTGGTAAGAAGATGTCTTTACAGACAAAAAGTAACTGTCCCTGATGGCTTCCCAGCCCGTGTGCCACCTGCTCGGGTTGACATTCAATTCATAGTTCTGAGGCTGGCAAAGGTTTGGGTAGAGCTCAGCCAACTCCAAATGCCACGCTGTTTTCAGGACACATCACGTTCCTGTGTTTCAGACAGTCTTACTCTCTGTTGATGAAAAAAAAAAAAAAAAAAAAAGATCGGTTTGTGATTCAAGGCCAATTTGCTGTACAAAGAACTTGGTTTCCTGTTATCAGTCCTAGACTTTCATCAGAGTAAACATCCCCTCTGCATGTCCTGTGAAGAAATACAAGTAGCATGAACAGAATATATCACGGCATGCCCATAAGAGCAAGCAGCATTCTGTACGTGCCCGCACTGCTCCCACAGGTAAGCGATTCCCTAAAGCCTGGGAAGGACCTGGGGCTTTCCTGTAAACAGCAGCAACCCAAAACTTCCTGAAGGATGCTTGGGGTTAGGTCTGCACGACAGATCCCTCCTTAATATGTGTTGAACACAGAGTTAAATCCAATCTCTAATGGACAAGACGACCTCCAGAGGTTGGGCACAGATCTTGAGTCCTTGCAGAACAGTTCTGACCAAGGGGCATGGTGGTACCACTGCTCTGCCTGGCCAGACATCACCGAGACGGCGTTGAATCAGCGGATGTTTTACACCTGGAGGTGCCTTAATTACTATTTTTCTAGCCTATACATGACAAATCTCACAGCAAAGTATTTAGAACACGTCACAAGAAGGCCGATCGATTCCGTGCTGGAACAGTAGGTCATTGATGTGCAGGGAAATGCCATAGGAGCACATCTGGCACACGGATACCCAGGGCGGTGTTTCCTATGGAAAACTCCTATGAGGCTTCCGAGCCTCAGTCTCTGTGTAAAGGAAGGATATTCGTGCCAGCCTGCCTGAAATTAGCCTTGGAAGCTGCCTACAGAAAGTGTGCCAGCTGAGATGCAAATCCCTCTTACTTACCTCGTGATGACAACAAAAGCCAGATGCAATTTTACTCATCCATTAACAAAAAAGACTTTGCCCAGCGCCACACGTGGGTGGGATTCCATTGGGGTGACACGATGCTGCTGGCACAAAGATCTTGGCCCCTGAGAATGGCAGCTCTGTGGCATGACAAATGCAGGCACTCGGCTCCGGCAGCCACGACTACATACTTTACCTGCTGACTAAAGAGGAAAAATGCAGAAAGTCTGAAAATTAAAGTCTCAGCCAAGAGAGAACAACCTGAAGGAACAGTTCTTCAGATAAAGGTTCATTATTAGAACTGGACTCGTGAAAACTACCAGCTGGTTTCCAATCCCATTTATAGCAGGGATAGTCAGATAATTCAAGGGTATGGCTACAGAAATCCAGTGGGGAAAAAATGATAGCCCATCTCATTTGGGCAGTGCTGACAACGTATGATTTGTGCTTTGTGGGTATCACTGCGGGCAGAGGCTCTCCCGTGCTCCACTGAAATCAATGTCAAAGCTCCTAACTCTCACGCTTTTTAAAAGTGTGAAAGTGTCTTCGTTTCTCCTACTCGTGTCATGTTTCATTTCTTCTTTCTGCGCTCCTTCCAAACCCGAAAGTCAGATGAGCTGATTTCCTAGATCTCACGCGGCACTGGAAATCCCAAAAGAATCCTCAGCTTTCACATTAAACCCAACCTGACACCTGTCCCCACCATCGCTGCATGGCACCAGAGCTCGGGCTTATTTTCTCGCTGCGGCCAATATATTTAAGGATGTGGTTGAGACAATGCTGAACATTTTCCGTTTGACTTCAGTTTGACTTTCAATTTGAAACAGAGATACCACTCTTCTTGTTAAACACTATCCCAGAAAGAGGGAACGATTTTTAGAAGCACCACCAACCTGTTGGTGGCTTGGCAGGTGCCAGGATACCCACAGCACGTCTGCCCAAAGGCCTGCGGTCACCAGGGACAAGAAGGGCTCCCCTTCTTCACCAGTTGTCTGAAAACCCTACACAACAATCGCTTTCCCCTCACGGAACCTTCCCAATATTGAGGGTTTTAAAACGGCCTGTCATCTTAATTGCTGTTTGTATCTCTGGCAGATCAAAGGGAGGATGTCTGTGATTCTTTGTATTACTCATTGTTATATTAACACAAAGATCACATATTCATTTATTTTGCTTGAAGAGGTAACAGTCTCCTTTCACTGCACGCACATAATTACTGTAAGCATGCAGGGGACTTGCCAAATGATGCACTGGGGGGAGGAGGAGAATCTTTGAAGAAAATTGTTCAAACGTAATTTAGTTCACTAATTGGCAGGGGACCGTTACTAACGAATTGCTTCTGTTTTATGTCAGTAGTGAATCAGGTTGACGATGTGTAACATACATGAAGTCAGTTAATGAGTGTTAACTAGAAATGCGCCTGAAATACAAGAAAGAGGTGTTTTTTTTTACCTTTAGCTGGCCGAGCAGAATCACCAATAAATAAAAGGATACGTGTAAGTGGCTTAGATGATTCCAATCTGCAGTGGAAAGACTTTTCTTAGAATCTGGTGGTAACCACAAGCTTGTGGGAAAGAAAAATCAGACGCTTACTGTGGCAGTTCATCACAAGTTACTTTATTTCTAACCGAGCCTGAAATGAAAATGACTAGAAGTCGTTACCGTAAAATAGCTGATTACAAGGCAGCGCGCACTGAGCCAGCGAGCCTCTGGCCATGGCTACAAGCAGGGCAGCACTCTCAGCTGTGGATTCACTTGTGGTGTCTGTGTGCTCACTCTCACTGTGTGGTAACATGAGACAGCCTCCTTCACTTTCATTGTGGGACAGGACACTTTGCATTCTCCGGTGCGCACAAGGCAGACTGACAGGCTTCCCTCTAGTAGCCATAACCACAGGCTTGTTTGTCTTTCTCCTGTACGCACAATACAACAACATAACGAGGCTTTGGGGGCAGGCAGGAGCCAGCAGGCTGAAGAAACACAGAACCACAACCTCCAGGAGCACCAGGGCACAGCTTTCAGGTCAAGGCAGGTCCCGAGCCGTAGCTGAGCTCAAAGAACGCAGGCCTCCCATGGATGTGCAGGCATGAGAGTAAATACCATTACAAAATCTGGGCAGAAGGAAGCTTTCTGGTTTGCTCTGGCATGTGAACAAACTGGCTTATTAGGCCACAGGTGCAAATGTGAGGACTCGGGACTGAAAGTGAGGATAAAATGGAGAACTCTCATGTTCTACAAGTTTTGTGAAACAGGCATTAGGCCACGAAACCTGCCAGACACTGCTGCGGGCTGAGGGGCTGCCAGCAGTCTGTCTGCCCAAGGAAGGACAGGGGTGGCATTAGAATTAGAATTGCAGTGCCTTATTCAGCTACCTGGAGGAGGTCAGTTGAACAATGAGGGCTGTACACCCAGCCAGTCAGCCAGCTCCTTCGGGTGCCTGGCCCAAGAAGCCTGCATCTGGCTTCATGGACCTGCCAAGCAATCCTTTCTGTGGAGCTGACACAGGCCACAAAAGGAACACCTTGTACCCCAAACCACTACTGCCCTTCAAGCCCCATCCTGAAATGTCTCTGACGAGTATCAAAAATGCCAGGAATGCTGCCACATTACCAGGGACACTACGTTGCATTCTAGTGCTTTTTCATTTCCCCATCCCATCTCCATCATGTAAGATCAACTTTGTGTTGGGAAGACGTTGTTCTAAATCCCCTTCTTTGGCGTTTCAAATTTCATTATCTCTTTTCTTATAAAGTATAAAGTAATGCAGAGTTTGTTCTCTGAAAATCATTTTTACAGTGTTTAAGACTAACTAAGATCATTTTGCTCCACTCCAATAATAACCATTAGGTTTTTACACCTCTCCAGTAATAACTTGGCAGAGCGTCAGCCAGGCAATCAACACGCCAGAAAACACAGCACCTTTGCTCCAAAGGACAAATTCTTTCTTTTACTGCTGCTGCTCTCTTCACCTATATTTGCCATCAAGAGGTACCTTTATAAAAGTTAGGTTTGAAACATGGTGTGTTTCAACACCAGCTGTATTGGGTAACTATGCCTCTTGGTACAAAGTGGATTGCTGCTTCAGAAGTAAGTTGATATTATAACCATAGCAACACTACTTGCAGAGTCAGAAAGAAAAAACAACATTCAGCAGCAACAGCAGAAAATGTGTATAGATTACTTTATCTCTGCATTCAATAGAGATAAAAACCCTTCTCTGAAAAAAATAAAATAAAATCTATGCTCCGGAAAGAGTAGATAGAATGAAGCATAATCTAATGAATCATGAAACTTGTTTGCTGCCATCGATATCTCAGAGAGCTCATCCTGAAATAGTGCTGTTGATATTGATAACATATTGGCAAGGGACAGCCCAGCCAGAGAGAAACAAATTTAGCCAGTGGGATGTGTGTGATGGGAGGGAGGGAGACAAAACAGAAAGAAGCACACAGATCCTGTCCACATGAAATCACCAATCCTCAACTTTAAAACATGAAACAAGTGCTGTTGGCCTCCAGTCATGACAGCTGTGGTGCCCGCTGCCTCCTTGCAATCCAAACTTTGTACAAGACAAAGTATGCAGAAATACGCATGGCATGTGGAGAGTTAAACATGAGGAGAGAATTAAGGTCTTTACCAGTCAGATGGCAACACAAACTCACACCTTCTGAAATGCATTGTGTGGCAGAACAAACATCATTTCCTGCCTTCCAGAAGCAGCTTCTCTGGTTCACTGACCTTCCTTTTCTTCTTGGGTCCTGTTACCTCTTCCTGGCTAAACGCAAGGTTCAGGCAGCTTATCTGTAAGAACCATCAGAAGCAGTGATCATTCTCACGGTACAGGCTCCTGTTAGACAAGTCAAGAAAGACAACTTCCAAATCTACAGTGTGTTTTCCTGGATCCTCTTGGGTTTATTCAGTGTGATCTTGTTCTCCAGTAAAAGCCATTAGGCAAGGAACCAAAACTGGAACACTCACTGGATCTGAGGTGCTGAGGTTTGTGAAAGCAACAGGTTCAGTCCCACAGCCTAGAGACAATGAAAGGAGCAAGGAGGCCTTTGAGAAATACAGTCGCTCGTGGGGCAGAAGCCTTCTTCACCAACGTGGGATAGTGATAGACTCAGAGAATGATAGAATGGCTTGTGCTGGAAGGGACCCCAAGCATCACCGAGTTCCACCCCCCGTCACAGGCAGGGCCACCAACCTCCAGCTCTGGCACTAGACCAGGCTGTTCAGGGCAACATCCAACCTGATCTTGAACACCTCCAGGGATCCGCAGCCTCCCTGGGCAGCCTGTGCCAGCACCTCTCCACTCTACCTGTGAAGAACTTCCCCCTGACATCCAGACCTTCCTTCCGAACATCTACACCTTCCTTCCTTGAGCTTAAAACCTTTCCCCCTTGCTCTATCACTACTACCCTTGTAAAAAGTTGATTCACCTCCTGCTCATAATCCCACTGAAGAAAATTACATGGGTCACATTGGCAGTCACTGGAAACAGCCTTTTAGGATGAGACACCATGGAATGATGTACACCATGGAATTTCAGCGTGAGCTGATGGGCCTCTGAGTCCAAAGACTATAAGTGTGAGTTTGTGAAAAACAACTAAGCAAAGCAAGCTCTGTTTCAGGGGGCATAACTTCCCCCTAGGAAGACACAAGCCCCCCACAAAAATATCCAGAGGCCTAGAAAGCAAAAGGTTAAAGAGCACTAAAAAATATATGCTGGAATACAAGTGGGCAATTCAGACAGATCACAGACAGATGAACGTCCAGAACGACAGCTGAAGTGCTGGCTGTGTCATGTAAATCACAAACTCACTTATTCTTGTTATCACAAGACATATTTGCTTCTCTATAAGAATAATAACATGGAGCTGCAGAGAGCAGCATGTGCTGCTGCCCACCCAGAAGGGACAAAGCACAGAGTCTGGCAGGGATACCAATCTTGCTCCCGCTGGAATCGAACTGAAGGGACACACCATAGCACACTCTTCAGCTTTGCCTCCAAAAGAAAATTCATTTGGATGAAAGTAAGGTGAATGAAGAGGGAAAATAGTGCTAAACAAGTCGCTAATTCAAAATAAGAGCAGCTTATTCTGGTTTCACTAAAAATCAGGAGGAGCTCTATGAAGCAGGATGAGCACAAGGAGTTAATAGAGAGCTATTCCAGAACACATCCTGGAGAGAAGCACAAGGTCTCCAGATTACAAAATGTGGTCATTACAGAATTCCCCACCCACGTCATCAAGGCTCTCTTTCTATCTGACCTTGGTATGAGGCTTTGGTAATCTCTACGTAGCAATGGTCTTCCTAATGTGTGAAATAACTGACTGCGGATTAGCAGCAAAACCACCTCAGTTTGCCTCTCTATCGTGTTTCAAATTGTTTTTCTTCCCCTCTTCCATCCTCTTCGTTATGAGCAACACGATATTGGCTAATGCAGAAAGTACAACTTCCTTTCCATGCAAACAGAAAAAAACCAGAACCTGCCCAAGTGGGAGAGGCAGGTTTTCCTTCAGTCTGACAGAACTTCAGCACTGTCCACGGCGTATTTGCTTGAGGAAACTGAGATGAGTGGATCTCTGTGTTACAGCTCCTGACCTGATACCCAGCTGCTCAAACTGGCATTTCAGGCAGTTATTTACTTTCCTTTCCCTGGCATCACTTTAACCTGTCTGCTTCAGTTTTTGAAGCACAGGGCCCTGGGGGTGGAAACACTGCATCTAGACACTCTGCACTGCTAACACAGCTGCAAGACTTGTACCCTGTCCTGCTGGCTGCACAACAAAGTACAGCAATGATCCCCAGTCTCCAGGCCCCTGGTCACCTGAGGGATTCAGCTCTCTTTCTGTTTTAGCCCAAACCACACAGTGAGCACATCATCCACAGCCGGTGCTTTTATTCCCTCTATCGAGGAATGGACTCTGCAGCACAGGCAGCAACTTGGAGGTTTAGCCCTTTCTTAATTCTCTGCGTGGATGGGATGCTTTTGAGGCAGGAGAAGCAGCCACAAGGAGCAGCCACGACTCCCTCTGTGTGCATGCCCTACAGGAACCTGGAGATTAGGAGTAAAAACATCTATGCAAGTCGTCATGTTCTGCAGACACGCACTATTCATCTGCTGAATGAACAAGATGTCAAACGTGTGAGGTATTTCACCAAAGCCAACATGTCCTGTCCTGCTCCTGCCCTGCTACAAGTTCACATATGAGCTCAGAGGCAGGATCAGACCCCGAGCCCAACTTCCAGGTTCCTACCTTAACCAAACACTTGGGCTTCTTCCCCAGCACTGCGCTCTAAATGGGATTAAGTCAGATCCTACGTGTGTTTATTTGACTTTAACCAGAAAGTAAACCTCTTAAACGGCGCGGTAAAAAGCAGGAAATCCCTCCCATTGACTAAACATACAATCAAAGCCTCCAAAGGTTGATTAATTCTATTTTTTCCCATACTCTGGGACTTTGAACAACCCATAGGCGAGCTCAGGCCGTACCAACAGTGGCTTTTGTCTTACACAACCACTGCAGGGCCTCGGCTCCCCTCAGGTATGGAGCCAGGTGC